TAAGTTAATGTTAGGGAGCTCTGGTAGCCTAGTGGTAAGGTGCTGTGCTGCCAACCTAAAGGCACGTGGTTCAAATCCACTAGTTGCTTTGTAGGCAAAAGATGGGCATTCTGCTCCTGTGCAAATTTACTGCCTCTGAAAACCTGCTGGAGAGTCAGCTATGAATGAGTCCGTTCTTACTCAAAGGTGCCTAATAACAAGTTAATGTTAATGGTTGAGAAACGGTTCAGACAAGGAGAGTAAGAATGGTTGCACATCTTTAAGAATGTAATGTCAGGTACTGACTGAATGGCATGTGTAGAAGCTGCTGAGTTGGGTTATGTCTTGTTATGTGTATTCTCAACAACGGCAATAAAACTCAAATTGCAGAGCATTAGCCCAGTGCAATCAAGAGGAAAGAAAAAGAATGGAAAATTCTCCAGATTTGGGGGAATACTCTGGATGGAAGCAGATGGCCGCATCTTTCTCTCTAAGAGAAGCTGGTGATTTAAAACTGCCAAAGCTGAGAGCCCAGCTCTTAACCCAGTGCATCATCAGAACTCTTATTATCAAGCTCAGTATTTCATAAACTTAGCTGTTTTTTAGAATCCCTTTGAGAAGTTTAGAAAAAAATGCAGGTGCCTGTCTTTGGTTTAGCATTTCTCAAATGTTGGTGCTCATCACAGATGAGCATCACCTGGAAAGTGAACATGCTCAGGGGCAGGTTGAGATGAAGAGAGGCTTGAGCCTTTGTATTTCCACTAAGTTTTCCCAGTGTTACTAGAGTCTGTGGACTTTGTTTGTTATATGACCCTCACCTCCACACCACGTGGTAGTGCCCTGCGTCGTGCTGCCCTTGATCCGGATTCTAACTTTCTTCCTCTTTTTTCAGAATTGTGCTTCAGGTGAATGTTTATAGAGGTACTTAGTTTCCCATTTGATTATCTGTATATAAAGTGTGTTACCCACAGTGTGTCAGCTGTCTTCCCATGCCTGTCTTAGTTTTCCTGTTTCCTCTGTCTGGATTCTCTACCCTTTCCTCCTCAACTTTGTTTTGGGGTAGATGGTGGTTGTTTAATTTGGAACAATTAATAATTTTAAGAAGCACATCCTTCTTGCATGTTGTTTATTTTTGTGGGCTTGTGGGTTGTTTGTCTGATCAGTGGTCTGTAGACATAGTTATTTTCCTATGTTGCAAGAGTGTCTTGGGAACATAATTTCAGGGGCTTCTCTAGTCCCTGTCAGGCTGTCTGATCTTCTGATCTTTTTGGTGGACTTTACTTTTGTTCTGTTTTTCTGCCAGTCACCTTGAACCTCCTCATGGGACCCATTCAGAGTGGTTGGTGGTAGGAGCTGGGCATCATTTAGTTCTTCTGGTTT